TTTGTTGGTGGAGGGAGGGGAGGGTGCCCATCTTCTTAACTACACTGAATTCTCCTCCGCACTCGCCATCAAAGAAATTTCGTCCCGAGCGTTTTTGTACCACACTTCACAGCCGGACGCGGTCCTAGTCGAACATATGGAGGCACCTTGGTGCAATAGTTTATCGGGTACGGTAGTTGCAAATTTGCACGCAAGTTTTTCAAAAAAGGAAGGAGTTGTGGGCATCGTTTTCACGCCATCTCTTCAGTAGTTTTTCATGTTAGTGTAGTATTGAACTGTGCAAAGAAATGATTGCAAGTCTAAGAATTTGCCCTTTGCCTACGCTTAGAGTAGAACAGCTCGCTCTGGGGTGGGTGAACTCAGGAGCTGCCACCTCCTGTAAGCTTGGACAGAAAGCTTCGCCACGTTTCCCATAACAAAAGCGAAATGTTTGCGGTGTTTCGTATGTTCTGGGTTTTTTTTCACAAAGATGCCAGCCTATACATGATTAACGCCATCGAACATTATCAGCGATAAAAGCGCTTAGAAGGGGTTTATGGACCGCCTGATAGCGGCGGTCATTTCCGTACGTGCTGATTGTCGTAGTCATCGCAGCAGAAGTTTCTTCAAACTTTTGATAGGCAGTGGAGTTCTTTGTACAGCTTGAATTATTTTTTAGGTATTGTTTTACATAGCGAGCTCGGCTTTACTTAGAATGGTAGTAAAAAAGGATATTTGTGCCCACTGAGATCAGCTTAGACCACATATAATTCATAAATGAGAATTCTCAGGCACAAGAAAGAGGATCGACCTGTCGGTGGCGTTATAAACCAGCAGTCATTTCCTCGTGTGCAAGGAGTTGTTACGGCAAATAATAGATCGTTTGTAAATGCAACAACATGCCCCACCTCCTCTAATTCCACGCCGGATCATGGACGAGGTTTGTTTCAGTTATGTAAAGTTTGAACGGCGTCTATCATCTCATCTGCGATCTCTCCGACTAACAAGGGAACCCCAACAGGTCGATCCGGCCATTTGCAATGGTATGTATTTATATGGAGGTGTTTTGAGCCGCTGAATCCACCGTATGCGGCAAGCGGTCCGGTAGCATAGTGGATGAGAGCACTGCTTCAGAGACCCGCGGTGGCGTGTTGTATCCTTGACTTTTGAAAATTTTTGCCTCTGTTCAAACACTTCATATGAGTCCCCAAGACACTTCTGCTTGATCATTTTGCCTGGTGCTTTAATTATTTGACAATAGAAGGCAACCGATTCTCCATTTCTGGTTCCGAAGACTTTTATTATGAGGATGAACCGTTTCTAGAGCTTGCATCAAGAAATGAGGATCTTACGGATTCAGAGCATTGTCTTCCACGAAATGATAGAAACAATACAAGTTCTCGCAATGAGCACAGCGAATGAAAAGTACCCTCTACACTTACAGTTCTCCACCAGTCCAGAGGGAAAGCAGTACTAAAATTTTGTTTTTGATTTTGAACAATATTCTGTCCACGTGATCTGTGCAGAATTATCCGATATGATCAGCCCTCATGATTATGATCTGACTCCATGATATAACTCCATTCTCCGTCTTTTATCTCTAGGCTATTTTCAGTTTTGCTCACCTATATTCAAAAACTTATCCTATCCTTGGTACACGGCTGGATACTTCGAAGCACATCCTGGTGAGTTCGAAACACCTCTTCAGTACTGCTTCCCCTCTGGACTGGTGGAGAACTGTAACTGTACCGTGTGAAGTACTTCTTCATTCGCTGTGCTCACTGCGAGAATTTGTATTGTTTCTATCATTTCGTGGAAGGATACCACATGTGCTCTTGAACCGTAAGATCCTCATTTCTTGATGCAAGCTCTAGAAACGG